ATGTGGCTGAGTAGTTGGGCAGCGTAGCTGAAGGGGTCCACGGACAACTTGAACTTAAAGGAGCGGCCGCGATGACCTATGAAAATGCAAGAGGTTATGTGGGAAGGTAGTGCGGTCCGAGTGGACAACCCTGTGCCAGTTTTGCGGCGGAAAGTTGTACGGTAAAGGAATTAAGGCGCAAAGTTGCTTCAGTGGTACATCCCTTTTTCCAGTGACTCCGCCTCCAGACTCCGCCTCCAAAGTCGGCCAAAAGTAATGCTCCCGGGCAAGTATCATGGAGTGGATGCATTCAGTATCTCTTGTAGAGTCATAAGGTTCATTACTGGGAATCAGCCGACGGGAATCGTCCCAGCGCGCGGTCTCTTCGGTCTTTTACCTCTACAGTTGTTTGAGGCTAGAGGAGGCCTGACGAATGCGTTTCCAACGTTCCCTTTGGCATTTTCTCTTCATAGACGGTTCACTTGGCGAATTTTCTTCCACATTTCTGCAACATCACCTAGGCTTTTTATCGCGGACCGTGCCTTTAATTCCTTTGAATGCGTCGATCTTCTGTTTTTCTCTGCACTCTCTCATTTGGATGGCATTCTATGGTCATTGTGACCTCAGACGATCCAGCTTTTCGCAAATGATAAGTGGCTTACCCACCCGGAGTCCCCCTCCCTTTGAAAAAGCCCAGATCCTGGCTCGCCAAAGGTTTCTTGCACATTACGATGTTTTGGCAGCCGCTATCCTTTAGTTGTCTGCGTCACAGGGTTTCGCAACAGGACCACGTAGCTGAAGGGCACCGCGCTACGTTAGCGCATACGTGATCCACGGCAATCAGTTCAGGCTCATGGCTCGCGGAACAAATCGTGTTACTTTACCATTTCTGAGCAAGAAATTTTGAAAAATAAAAAAGACAAGCTTACCTGGTCACAACCTCCATTGTCAGTCTTACAGAGAGAAGCAGTTATGGCATTGCAAATTTGGTTCCTGGTTCGGACATCGTTCTCAGAGGCGAAAACCCTCAACGTTCCTGGTACCCTGCGATCGCTGACAACCGGTTCTATAACGCCACCGGAATCCTGAATGGCACTGTCAGTCTCTATTTGTCGTCCCGATAGCGTTCAGTACTAACCTTGTTCAGTCGGAATACACCGTTGCTCAATGGATCGCTCAAATACAACCATTCATCCCAAATGTCCAGCGATTTAGCGCGATAACCTGCTCCAATCACCTTAAAAACGTAGTGGATAAAGTGGAATCAATCAATAATTGATCGATAAGCCTGGACATCTGCTCACCTTTCTATTATTTCCTCTCGATGTTTAGGCGATTCACATCGGCCCAGTAGATTCTCAGATTCCTGAACAACGTGGTATTTCAGGGCTACACCGCCCATAAAAAGGTCTCCTACCTGAAGTCTACCGCAATAGCCGCCGGAAGTGAGACACTCTCTCTGACGATAACCTTACGATTTCCTCCAGCCATGTTGGAACGCTCAATGCGAGGCTCATAGAGACCTAAAAATTGGGGATTATCATTGCAGCAGGGAAGACGAGTTGCAAAAACCACGAACCTCCCGATGCCTTGTAGCCACTGTCACTCCAGAAGATCAAACCACTGCAAGGATCCAGTGCCAATGCGTAGGTCCAATCACCGGAGGCGATCTGAGAGGAAAAGGAAAGGAATTGATAAAAAAGTAAGTAAAAGGAGAGGAATATCCTCCACAAGTGGGGTATAAAACGAGCACTAGCTACTACTCCAGATGAATTACTCACCGTACTGAGATGTTCTCCTTGTGAGTCAACTGACATGACTTTTCCAGCGCGTCCTGTGGTAAAGTAGACCTTTTGGGTGAGCCAATCCAGTTTCATGTCGGATACATGGCGAATATCAGCGGCGTGCTGAAACCGGAAGGTTGAGCGTCAGGATGGAAAAATCTCGTTAAATCGAAATCGATTGAAAAATTTCGTTTGTAGTTAATCGATCTCTT